GGTGATGACTAGCTGCCTTCCCTCTAGTTATACACTGCTAAATAATCTACAACGCCAAAGGAGACAAAGAGGAGAACACCGGTTTTTACAAAAATCTTCTAAAGCAACGGCAGGTTGTCAATAACCTGTCACGGTTAAAACAGTCTCTGACAAATGTTTGGCCTATAATGAAACATCAATTGATAGAAAACACATTTTAAGAAAGTCCGCCCAATTCGATTTGACATTAGAACACGTGTCCTTAAATTGCTTGCAAGATTCAAGGTTTAATTATATGAGAAGAAACCCGAAGCTCGGCATACAGAGATGTGAACATCGAAAAAGAACAATCGCCACATGGTTTGTTTTTTGTGTTTGATTTCGCAAAAAGCTACCGGAGAAGTAACTGCGCTACCGTCTCTAATTCCGAAATGATAGGTTAGAGGGAAGGCAACTAGTCAACACCACCCACCGCCAACTCTTAAACTACTCCCTACCATCGAATAGTGGGATCGACAGACATGTTATAAGTTACGCCCCACGGCAGAAAGGACGAGTATGTTCGGTGACGGGATTTGAACCCATTACCCACAGATTGCTAGTCGGGTGCCCCCAGGGTAAATAATATGAATATTAGTAGCGACTATATGAGATAAATCACAATATGTACTACTAAGTTTGTGACACGTGTGCAAGCTATATTGGATAAATACATAAAACGTGGTATTTAATATACAACAAATACGATTTTAAACGCGCATGTCCTTAATGCCCTATCTCGTTATTACAGGTGCTACTTTACTACAAAATACTATTAAACCGCATATTTACGAAGTAGGCGTATTTTTTAAGGCCGATGGGACGATTTCCATTTGTCGCTATCCAAACAAAACGATACAGATGTTCGGTCTGTAGTTCTATTAAATCTAGGGTTTGAAGTTCGTAACACTGGAAAGCTTTAGGATATAAAGAAACAATGACATTTTGTACACTTCACTTGTAGTGACAGGCTACGCCAGTTAAAATTTGTTTATCCAACATTTCAAATAATTTTAAAGCAAATAAAACAAAGTACCTGATTAGTCTGGAAGAATATTAAATACAACGTTGAGTATGTTACATTAAAACGAATTAAATAAGCAAATCAGCAAGTCACGTGAAAACCACGGGCGATATAAAGTCGCGGTGAAACGGCATGTATCAGAATTACATTTTGACATTGCTTGGCATTTCCTGAGTAGTGTGATGCAACGAGAATTGATCACGTTTGAAAGGGATATATATGGGTTAAAAATCCTGCCCCTTACTAACCTTCATTAGCCTCGATTCTCACTAAAATTCAGCAGTGGGATAAAAACCCCATTCCTTACCCACTTTCATCAGTGAGGGAAAGATAGTGCACCTTTCTAATCTTCAGCCTTAGGATACCCCCTCCCCTCTTTACCTTACCAACCTTCATCAGTAGAATAAAAACATACCCCTTACTAACTTTCATCAGTATGGTGAAAACCTTAACTTTTACTAAAATTCAGCAGTGGGATAAAAACCCCATTCCTTACCCACTTTCATCAGTGAGGGAAAGATAGTGCACCTTTCTAATCTTCAGCCTTAGGATACCCCCTCCCCTCTTTACCTTACCAACCTTCATCAGTAGAATAAAAAACATACCCCTTACTAACTTTCATGAGTATGGTAAAAACCTTAACTTTTACTAAAATTCAGCAGTGGGATAAAAACTCTGCTCGTTAATAACTTTCAGAAATAAGGTAAAGAACCCACCCCTTACTAACTTTGATCAGTAGGACCGCACCCCTTATTAACCTGCATCAGTATGGTAAAAAAATTTCTCTTCACTTACTAGAAACTGATTATTCTTCACCAGTTGAATACAAACTTGATACCTACAAACTGGAAACGTTTAACAAACACCACCAACCTTCCCTATTATGATAAAAGCTCTGATTTCTAATGATAAGTAAATTCGGCAATTTTTCACTATTAGCACAAACAATTTAACTATACCGACCAAAAATCATTATCTAGTTTGATGAAAGATGTTAAGCTTATAGAACACAGACATTCTTAAACTTTCAAGAGTAGGATCAGTTATCAGCTGGTTCTACCTTTACAGAATGATGGTAAAAACTGGCCTCTACTGACCACGAAACTTTGAAAAAATCATCATTAATAAGCTAAGTACATTTTCTTACCTCTAGACTAAAAACTGGAGTGTTTTAGTCAACACTCCCCAATACTGTGAAATGTTTCACATTTACTGACCAGAACTTTTGATAAATATTCAGTATGGAAATAACCTTTACTGACTAAAGAAGTAAACGGTACAATTTTTATAAATCTAATCTCTACTGAGTAGGAAATTTTGACCTCTATTTTGATACCTTTTCACCTGTAAGGTCAAAAACTTTCATCAACGATCAAGATTGGGCAAAAAGTTTGGCTTTACTGGTCATATTTTGTACAACGATAAAATCGTTAAGTCTTACTGGTCAAAGCTCCTCAATCTCCCCAGTATGATGAAACACTTTGACCTCTACAAGCCACAGTACATCATAGTTCCAATGTATAATACCAATTTTGATTTATATAAGCCAAAAATAATTAACCTTACTCTCGAAACAGAATATATTAATTTCTTCAAAAACAAACCACACATTTTTTAAATGCTAAAGCCAATTAATACTTCGTCAAAGCAGTAGCAACCTTCGTTGTAATGGCCAGTATATATTAAAATAAGGTAAATCATCAAACTGCTTAAAGAGTCATACAATATTTTGTAAAAAATAAAATTAATAAGAAAAAAATCACAAAGGCATAGAAACCTACAAATGTTAATAGAAATCCGGATTATTATAAACATCGAGCAAACTTAGCTGTTAGTTTGAAAACATTTACATCTCTTACTCGTAACCTTTGCCTGCTAAAACTCTTCTCATGATCGGGGAAATTTCAGTAACATGAACAGAACGGAAGTGACGATCCATAACTTCCGTTACCGCACCATCTCCAGCACCGATGTCCAGTAAAAGATCGGCTTTCCAAGAATGGTCAACATCCAAAAGTTGTGTGAACTGGCGATGGGAAAAGACAAACATGGAGCCTCTTCCTAGCAACCTGCAACAATCCGAAAACATTAGCCAGTGGAATTTAGTGTGAAAATGGATCTGCAAGAGAGAGAGAGAATTAAATATCTGTAACAATAAAAATTACACACTCCTGGAATTTTCAGAACAGTAATTAGGTAGCAGATTAAAAACATACCAAACCCTCGTAACAGGAGTTGTTAAACTGTAGTATGCACCAATGAAGTTCCACATTTATGAGATGGAGAAACCTGAATGGCACCTTACGCGAATGTGAGGTTAACATCCAGGTCAAATCCCTCTAAACTTAAGGTACAGTTGTCCATAATATTTAATTACCAATTAGAGGGAAGGCAATTAGCCAGCATTACCCGTCGTCACAAGGGCTTCATATGGCTCTTCAAATCGAATAGCAGGATTGACTGTCATATTATTAACGTGCCCAAAGTGCAGAGTATGTCCAGCAGCGTCATGTTCCGGACCCTTCGATCCGCAGCCCTGCACATTAATCACTAGGCTACACTCGGCTCAAACAAGACCGTTAGTACTGTATGTAATATTATAATACAGTACATCTGGGGCCCGGCATGGCCAGGTGGATAAGGCGCTCGACTCGCAATCTGAGGGTCGCGGGTTCGAATCCCCGTCACACCAAACATGCTCGCCCTTTCAGTCGTGGGGGCGTTATAATGTGACGGTTAATCCCACTATTCGTTGGTAAAAGAGTAGCCCAAGAGTTGGCGGTGGGTGGTGATGACTAGCTGCCCTCCCTCTAGTCTTACACTGCTAAATTAGGGACGGCTAGCGCAGATAGCCCTCGTGTAGCTTTGCGCGAAATTCAAAAACAAACAAACAGTACATCTGATAATACCTTTAACCACACTTGTCATCCAGTACATACTGTATCATTTCAATCATCCTTCTTTCTTGTGCACAATGTACAACGTCAAGAGTCTAACATTCTTAGGTGTCAGCTAAAAAAACAGGTGTTTAAACTTATTATCAATTTCTTGTGATGTTTCGTCACACTTCTAATGAATTATAAACCGCTAGACTTAACGTTATATGTAAACAAAATAATATATAATTTATTGTTATAGTTATACGTTTAGTAGAATAGAAGTTCAACGTTTTGTAAACGCTGAAATTGAACTAATATTTGTACTAATAACTGCGGTGAAATCATTATAATGTAAAGAAATGTACATTAATAACAGTATATACGAACTTATTGTCAGCCAAACCACATGTAAACGCTGAAATTGAACTAATATTTGTACTAATAACTGCGGTGAAATCATTATAATGTAAAGAAATGTACATTAATAA